TTCAATCTAAACAAGCCCTAACAAAATTTACGAGATCAAACTCAGCAAATATATGCAGTAAGCCAGGCACATTGTACTATAATAATATATAGTCCGTAGTCTTCTGTGTTTCATGGGAGAGGGCGCCGTCAATGTCTCACATAGTAGTGTGTCAGCCTCGAGTGACATGAAGCAAGCTTGTCTTGGCCGCTCCACCGCCACCTGTTCAGGACCAGATCTCAAGCTTCAACAACCTATGGGCTCAAGCACTACCAAGCAAGATCCCAACTAAGACCGTACAGAATGCAACACTGTTGATATAACCAAAAAAAAACTTCCACAGCTCCAACAACGCCTTCAGCATCGCAAAAGCTTCGAAAGCTCCTACAACCTCAGAACCCTAGCATAGCAACATCGTTCTTCCATTGTTTCCGTTGAAAATATGCACAAAAAGGCTGCACTTTGCCAACTTATCCCTCTTTTGTTGATTTGCTCCCATGATTTAGACTACAGCCCATGCTGAACTACAAGATCTGACACTTTTTATGCAAACAAATGTCAGAAGCAAAGGGACTTTAAAGAGGGGTGCTGGATGCTAATCAGGAAAGTCACCTCTCTATATTAACGGGAACAATATATATTCAGCATAGAAGAGATTCCAGATGAACCGGTAGTACTGCGAGATAGCATCCTGCAAACAGATGAAGGCAACCATCTATGTCACAAGCAAGATGGCACAAGTGGTTCTGAAACAAAAAAAAAGGCTTTTGCATGTGATACTCTGAGAAAAGGCTTAACCAATTTAAAAAAGAACCATTGTAATACCAATGGTGCCATTTCATACTGAAGCACTAACATAGATAATTCGCATACGTTACATGCTATATTGAAATTTCTTTTTACTTGTGCTAGCCATGTTTCAGAGTCTAAGGCATTGCATGGTCATGTTTACCATAAGAATAAATGGTCTTTAACTTTCAGATTGCATAAAACATTTGTTTGTGCCATTTTGTAGTAATAAAGCAGAATGCATAAAACAACAGTGAGTGGCAACTACTTGTCTCAGTAAAATACCTGAGTACGCATGCGCAAAAGCAAAATGATTATGCTAGCAATTTTAATTAGTAAAGTCTTTCTTTTTAGAACAGTTTTTTATCATTTGCCTATACTTTAGTTGTGAAAGATGTCAGTTGAAAACTTCACCTTGGTGTACTTCGCTTGCTCCAGAACCCATTTCTGAAATCATGGAACAGAACAAACAAGTTAGAATAAAAAAACACAGAATTCTTATTGAACCAAGAATATGCTAGGTATGAACGAAATTTTTGTTCATTTCTCAATAGCAGTCGCAATTCCTCGGGAACTTATGTTCAGACTTCCTTAAGCAGTACTCTAGTATTTTGACCAAGGCACTTTGAGCCCCACAACCCATGAAAGTACCAATGTACTTCTATATGATCGATAAAAACAACTAGCTAGGTACTAGAAGGCACAAACAATACCCATTACAACATTGGCTAATCACCTAGGATTGAATCAAACAATTACGAGTGTGTTTACCTGGAAAATTAAACCAGCAGCCAGGACAGCGTGCTCAGGAACCATTACAGTGCACCTGAAAGCCTGCATATTGGAAAACATAATCAGTGCAGATTTGTCAGGTAATGCTTCTTATATTAAAGCATGCAGAATTTTCTGGGAAAATCCAATGAACCGACCAACCATCCTTAAGATAAACAATCTCTTTGCTGATATAGTACAGAAATATAAAACATTTAGGCATGAGCATGAAGATACTGTCTATTAAACAACAGCTGTACAAAATTACAGTGACAAATCATCAGTAAGATGAATGCATGTTGGTATAAATTCAAACGAAATAAAAAGATAAACAAGCTAGGTCTGAGAAGGGTAAAAAGGTGCAATATTAAGTATCAATGCATAAGCGACTGGAAGGAACTGTATATTGTAACTTTGAACACAGTAAAGGAATAGCTTTTGTAGTATAATTGCACTTATTTGTGTTCTATCAGTTGAATTAGTTATATCTGAAAACAACAAGGTACTGTAACAATATCAGTAAAATACATACTATGTACAAGACTTGCTATGCTTATGTCTTTCTGTCTGGAATGAGTAACGAAGCTTAAAGGAAGGTTAGAAGTAGAAGCATGGCAACCTGAGGCATGATAAAAGCTACAGCAATAGCAGCAAGCTTTGTTGCCAAAGTTGATATTTGGTACCTAGGGGGAAAGACATTATACAAAGAATGTCAGCAATTCAACCAATGATATTTCTTTTAGAAGGTTCTCTTCTTGATGTTTTTCAATCTTAAAGTTAGAACATACAATTCACTTACTAATAACTGCAAGTTTCAACCCTTTTTTTTCTTATCTCTGTAGTCTGTACCAAATGGTAAGGGGCTTGACCTGGAGGTTGAGTGGCGCATGCCTCTGAACAGGTGTATCAGCTATTACGGTGGATGGCCGCACCGCATCGTTTATTACTGTAGATAGCCGCGTATCGTTATTTAACTGGTTTTGGAAGAAAATGCATGCTTGGATCCACGCTTCACCTCACCTCGCCTCGCCTCGCTTGACTTGCCTAGCCAAATGAGGAGAGGCAAAGCAAAGCTAGGACTAGCTGTTCGGTTCTGAGCCTCGCCATCTCTTTCTTCTCCCCTTTTATGCGCTCAATACAGTACAGAAATTTGCCTCCAAGGTGCAAGCTAAAAATTCTACTGCTTATGCGCTCAATTTTGCTACATGCGACCTCAATTTGGTTAGTCCTAGGTTTGATTCATCTCATGTTAAATCAATTTCAGCACTGACGGGATTGATTTTGGTTTGAAGAACAAGAACCGACCAATCGAAATCGCATTAAATTAGCATATATTTTAAGGGAAATCCAATTACCCACCATAGCAATTATTCGATGGGTTCGATTCATGCTAATTATTAAATGGGACTGGATAGCGCCAGGACGTCCGGTCCTGGACCACATCCGGACGCTGCGCCTCGTGCCCGCTCTGTGTCGCACGCCCCACTCGCTCGGATTCCGCGTCACTCGAACGACTCGTTCCCCACCCACGCCACCTGCCCCCACGTGAGCCCACGCTGTCCGAACATCACCAGCATCGAGAAGAGGAGGAGACACCGAGGTGAGGAGAGAAATGTAACACCCGATCTACTTTTAAAACACCCAGATACAACACTTGCAACATATGTATGAAGACAGATAAAATGTTTGAAACACTTGAAAAAAAACATATGAAACACTTGAAAACCATTGCAACATATACGCGTTATCCAGATAAAACATTTACAACATCTGTATAAAACATATGCAACATTCAGATAACCACACTTGCAACATATGTCTTAAAAAACAGATGAAACATTGGGAACAAACTTTTATAACATAAGTGTACAACCATTGCAACATATACAACATCCCGATCTACTTTTGCAACATTCATACAAAACCCTGGCAAAATACATCTGAAACTAAAAAAACACTTGAAACATATGCTTTTAGCGCGCAATGTCACATTGCTACTCGGACGAATGGAGCTTATCGTTGGGAGCTCGATGCCGGCGCGGATCTCGATGCCACAGAGTGAAACGGGGTCGCCGATGGCCGTGATGGACCTCCAGCGGAAGAAGGCCCTAACGCGGATGTCGTCGAGGCCCGAGATGTGGCGGTCATCGAGGCAGCCCGTCAGGCGATCGCTGAAGGCGGTGAGGTAGCTCCCTGCGAGCAGCACGATGTGGCAGCTAGAGCGGAGGTCGACGACGAAGTCCTCGAAGCCGGCGTCGAGCGTGTAGGCATGCACGTTGGTCGGGAGCAGGCAGGGCGGGAAGCCCCGAAGGCGGAGCTCGTCGTACGTGGTGGGGGGGGGGGCGGTGACGAGGTGGAATATGGGCGGGCGAGCAGGAGCAGGAGTGACGCCGTGAGGAGGCGACGACGCCATCACGGGTCGCTATGCCGAGTCGAGAATGGGGAGGGCGGAGCCGTGGAGGGGCCTGGAGGGCGGAGGAGAACAGGAGAGATGTGTTGGGGGCGATGAAACAATCCAGAATGCGACAGTCGGGCCGATAAAATGTGTGGATGGGAGTCACGAGACAGATCGTTACACTTGCCTGTGCCGCACGTCCGCAGGCCCCAGTGAGGAGGCGTCCTGACCCAGCATTATCGTTATTAAATCCGCTCCCTTTCTACACTTTGAGGCTATGAGAGATTCACTGTTGCTCATTGTTGGTTTTCAACCAATTTCAAAACCAAACAAATACCATCAATGATGTTTTCTCTCACAAGAAACCAAAGACCACCAAAATTTATACCAAATTTCGTAAACCGACCAACGAACAGGCCGATTGTCATGAGTTGCCGTGGTTGTGGAGTTTCAGTTCATTCTGCTGGCCGCCGATCCCTTGTTTTTTTTTCTTTTGACCAAGGGTTCGATTTCCATCTGTGGATGTTGATTTTCGCGGCCGGACATCCATCTCATCGTTAACCTTAGATTTCCATTGATGCAGGCGATTCCTAGCTTTGGCAACCTCCATGAACTGCGAGACGCAGCGTCGTGCGACCTTGCTCGCGTAGGAGAACCGATTTGGCTCTTCTGCGCTGGCAAGGAAAAGCTTGCCTAAGCAGGCTAGATTGCTTAGCAAAGCAAGGGCAGTTGTGCGACTGGGCTAGGCGAGGGGGAGCAAAGGATCCAAAGCACCCTCCCTCGACAGCTACCTCGCCTCTGCCCCTCCCTCGCATGCGCCCTCCGCCGCCGCCTGCTCCTCGTTGCCGCCGTCGCCGCGGCGGCTTCTTCGTCTCTCCCCATCGCCTCCTCTCCGATGACTTCACGGATCTTGAGGCCTTACATCTCTACCCTCACTAGAAATTCAAATTCCAAACACGAACCTTCAAAAAATCGAAACCCCACCTCGCCGGAGCGGTAGCTGCTGCCGGGAGGCCTGACTTCCTTTCCCCATCGCCTGGAGGTTGTCTAGAGTGATCGGAAGGGAATGGAGTTCACGGAGGCGTTCAAGCAGACGGGCCCGTGTTCCTTCTCCCCCGACTCGCGCTTCCTCGCTATTGCCGTAGACTACCGCCTCGTCGTCCGGGACGTCGTCTCACTGAAGGTACCCGCACCGTTCGTTCCCCATCTTTCTCTCAGTCCATCAACTCCCTGGGCTCGTGAGTCAGAATGTGGGTTTAGGGTTTGGGCTCCTGGTGTAATCGCCGAATCTGGAATTGTGGACTTGGGGTAATGTGACATCGTGCTGCTCTAATTCGAGCCTGCTCATCCATGAAATGCGCCTACTTCTGCCGATCTGAAATCCTAGGGTTCAGGAGTAGTCTGTGCTTAGCTCAATTTCACGGTGCACTTTGGTTGGATGAATCTCTGTAGTCTGTACCAAATGGTAAGGGGCCTGAGCTGGAGGTTTGAGTGGCACATGCCTGCCTCGGAACGGGTGTATCAGCTAGCATTTTGCATTTGGCACTATTTTGTTTGAGAACTGTGTTTCGATTGCTTGGATCCTGAAAGTTCCATGAACACTTAGGTGTTTGGCTCAGTCGCACAGCTCCAGCTTCAAGAATTCTGGGAGCTGGGTATTCCTAGCGCCAAGAATTTATGAAGCTGGAGCTAGGGCAAAGCGGGAGTTTTAGGTAAGTCATTTTGTTTCCAGTCTAGATTGAGAGTACTTATTCAAACTTGCCTTAATTTTTTATACAAACTCCAAACCCAAAGAGTACCTGGGAGCTAGAGCACTGCTAAATGGGGCCTTTACGCTTCATGCCTGTATATGCAAATTTCACATCAAGTATTTTGGTTTAAATTTTCAAGAATGGTCACATCATGTGTATGTCTTCCAAGTTCTTATTTAACATATTTTTTAGACAGTATTATTTACCATATAGATGAACTCATGAGGTATATTAATTTCAAGTCTGGCATGAGCTCATATTGTTGTAAATATGTGTGCTCACATTGAGACGCCACATTAATGTGTCCCTAAGCTTGCTCATTAATGTATGCTTGAACTTGCTTATGCAGGTGGTACAATTGTTTTCATGTGTGGACAAGATAAGCTCTGTGGAGTGGGCACCGGATTCAGAATATATTCTATGTGGACTTTACAAGCGGCCCATGGTGCAGGCTTGGTCACTGAGCCAGCCTGACTGGACCTGCAAGATCGATGAAGGTCCTGCAGGGATTGCATATGCTCGCTGGAGCCCTGACAGTCGTCATATACTAACTACATCTGAGTTTCAGCTCCGTCTCACTGTGTGGTCTCTCGTAAATACAGCATGCGTGCATGTCCAGTGGCCAAAGCATGGTTCTAGAGGTGTTTCTTTTACCAAGGATGGAAAGTTTGCTGCAATCTGCACCAGGCGTGATTGCAAGGATTACATAAATTTGCTCTCATGTCACTCCTGGGAGATAATGACTCTCTTTGCCATTGACACGGTAGACTTAGCTGGTGTTGAATGGTCACCAGATGATAGTGCTATTGTTGTCTGGGATTCACTTGTTGAATACAAGGTGCATGCACTTCCTCTTCACAAATCCATGTTGTTTTTTGTGTGATTTAACATGCTACTGTTCCATTCACTTGCATTTCTGTGAGCAACTTGTCTTTAGTTATCCTCTTTCTTATGTGTTCATGAAAATTATCTTTACTTTCAGTATCTCATCATCTTACATAGCAATTTTGTAGCTGGCAAACATTTGTTCTACCAATTCAATTTTAACCTGAGTTTACCTGAATTGAGGTTTCTGTTGCTCCGAGTTAACTTGTTTGTCTTGTACCACGATCTTTCCTTTTTCCTAAAGGAAGCATATATTTTCTTTTAGGTTATCAACCTTGTGCCTCAGCTATCGTTGTTGTATGTAGGTTTTAATGATTGAACCTTCCGTATTATGCTTCATAGGTTAACCACTAACAGTCAACTCTAGAGTTCATTTCAGTTTGTTGTGAAAAACCATTTTGTTCTTTTTCCTACTTTAAACTAAGCATAATACAATTATGCAGAGATACTAACTACAATGATCCTTCAAGAACAAAGCTTATTACAGGTTCTGACATCCTTTTTTGTCATTTACAGGTTCTGATATATTCGCCAGACGGAAGGTGCTTGTTCAAGTATCTAGCTTATGAAAGTGGGTTAGGTGTGAAAACTGTTGCTTGGTCACCATGTGGACAGTTTTTAGCAGTGGGCAGCTATGATCAAGCAGTGCGGACTTTGAATCACCTGACGTGGAAAATTTTTGCGGAGTTCTCACATGCTGGATATATTCGAAGTCCTTGCAATGCTGCTATATACAAGGTAACTCAGTCCATTATTTTGTTGACTTGTTATATTACCACCGCTGCATGGTCTAAATTTACTTCTCTGACAAATAATCATGATATCTAATTTTAACTTCCAAATATGGGCAGGAAGTGGATGACCCATGGCAGCTTGATATGTCAGAGTTATGCCTAAGTGAAGGCTTCTCTTGTAACATGCAAGACAATGGCGCAGGTCAGTTTAAGCGTGATCATTTCATACGACTTCTCATGCTATTTCTTTTCTATGTTTTCCACCCACAGACCTTTGGATTACTCTTTTTAAAAAACATTTATTGCATGACGAATTCCCTTCTCACTGAAGTTGGATGTAGTGGCCCATATGAGACTTAGGATCTTATCGTATCTAACAAAACGGAAACTAAAATACTCAATTGGGTATTCTCTAGCAATTTTATGCTCCTGCAGTCTGTAGTAGACTTGTAATCTTATCTCTCCCACATGTTTTTTCGAGAACATGCATTACATGTAGAAGTCATACAAGAAGGGATCGAGTTCGGAACGATGATATACGTGATAGATTAGGGGTAGCACCAATTGAAGAAAAGTTTGTCCAACACCGGTTGAGATGGTTTGGACATGTCCAACGGAGACCTTCAGAGGCACCAGTGCGTAGTGGAATCCTAAGCCAGGATAGTAACGTGAAGAGAGGCAGAGGAAGACCGAAGTTGACTTGGGTAGAGGCAATAAAAGGAGACTTGAAAGGATGGAATATACCCAAAGACTTAGCCTTAGATAGGAGTGCTTGGAAAACAGCTTTTCACGTGCCTAAACCTTGATGGCTTCTGCTGGGTTTCAACTCTAGCCTACCCCAACTTGTTTGGGACTTAAAGGCTTTGTTGTTGTTGTTATGCATTACATGTAGAAGGGAAAGTGCAACGAGCTTCCTAATAAAAAAAGCGGCCACAAAGCGGGCAGAGTTACAACAACAAAAGAAGAAGAAAAGCTATGGCTAGCCACCTGCGAGAAGAGGGGTGACGCTTAAGTGCCAGAGGGACCGGAAAGAAACAGAGGCCGTGTCCTAAAGGCATCACACAGCGGTTACTGGGAGGGTAACTGTCACACTAGCACAGCCACTAGCCCTCTGGGCGAATGAAGCCGACCGCATGCCATCTGGACGCCTCTTAGCTGATCCTGTCCACCAGAACGACTGGCCGCAAGGTCTTCCCCCTGAACACCTTTGCTCTACAAGTCAACTCATCTCTCCCATGTGTTATCATCTGATTTTTTGTTATGCACTGCTGTACTTCTGAAGATGTGTCTTATGAAACCTTTCTTTTGGTGTTACCATATTCTAGATTACCAAATGATTCTTTTCACGTTGGTATGGCTAAGTATGCTTACAAAATAAATGGATTGTTGTTCTGTATCATTTGATAGAATGATAGATAGAGAAGCCCATACTGACTCTTGTAGTTTAAAGCCATATTTGTTTTATTATCTGCTGTCTCCATGGTTTTTTTTGCCCTCTTATCACTTTAGTTCAGTGGCCCATTGAACAAAATTGCCATTGTGATGCTGCCTTTATATTATGTTATGAGCTAGTCCTTACATGTTTAATTCTGTATTAAATTTTCCCTATTTTGTTGTTGTCAGAAAATGGCACCGAGGGAGGAGGCTCTAGAGTTAAATATGCTCTGATGGATGTTCCCATCACCTTACCTTCGATGAAACCAGCTTTTGACAAGCCCAACCCCAAACAAGGCATTGGTGAGTTCCTCTTGCCTTTTGCCACTCCAGCTGATGCTTGCTGCAAGGTTCTATTCATGCGTATGGTTATCAGTCGTTTCCGTGATGACTCGTGCATAGGTGTCCAGTACTCTAGTATCATGCGCTTGTGATCTATTTTGTTTCTTACTCAATGCTTGTCTTGTTTCTTACTCTTCACAGTGATTGCGCTTAATTGCAATTGTTCTTGAATTCATTGGTGATTTCTTATACAGCTATACATGCATTTGTATCAAAATAGTGAACATCGTTTCTAAACATCATTTGCATTAGTTGTCTTGCTAATTCTTGAATTTCTATCAGAAAATTATTCAGATTATGTCTGGTGTATCATGCGCAATCTTGATTCTACATGGAAACACCACTCTTGCTTTACAAAATGCTGCAGGTATGCTGTCATGGAGCAGCGACAGCCACTATTTCTTCACCCGGAACGACAACATGCCGACTGCTCTTTGGATATGGGATATATGCCGCCTTGAGCTTGCCGCTGTGCTTGTGCAGAAAGATCCAATCCGTGGTGCAGCATGGGATCCTACCTGCACACGCCTTGTTTTATGCACGGAGAGCCCTCATTTGTACATGTGGACACCATCCGGTGCCTGTTGTGTCAACATCCCCTTGCTGAACTTCCGAATTGTTGATTTGAAGTGGAGCTCGAATGGGCGCTGTCTCCTCCTGAAGGAGCGCGAATCTTTCTGCTGTGCCACAATCATATCTGCCCTGCCTGAGGAAGAACCTGATCAATCTGATGATACTTCTGAAGATGAATGAATGGTCTCACGGTATGTCTAGCAGCTTATGCGAATATAACTGGGAACTAACAACACAGATGATCTTGTGATGGTGAATGAGTGACACCGACTGACTACTTAGCTACTTGTAGAATCCAGAATGAAAACTGCATTACCATGAAGTGATAAGGTCATTTTGCTGCTTAAATGCTAAATGATCTATCAGCTGGCACTACACAATGAACTGACAACTGTTGTTTCTATTTGTTGTATTCTTGCTCTTGTTTGTCTGCTGTAGTTTCTCCAAGGTTGTACTGCTTGACCTTACTTGTTGGGTCTTGATCTTACATACTGTATTTAGCCATCAGGGTATTTTCAATCAGGGAGACGAGGATTCCACAGTGAATCCAAAGAGTACCATTCGAAGTGTAAGTTTAGAAATCACATCGTTAAAGATGTGCACCGATGTATCCTTGCATTGTTGTCTGACAGCAGTAGCACTAGGACAGATGTTAGCCTGTTAGGTGCAGAGTTGTTAGGTTTTCAATCGAAAAAGCTCTATATAACCCTTTACATATGGCAGGTCGTCTATAGCTTGCTTTTGTCTGGTTCTTGCGGTCTTGCCTAGCCAGTCTCATGGCGTGAAGCGTTTGGTTACCTGCATCGAGCTTGGCTTGCATGGTGCAATACAGAGTTTCTTAATGATACTATTATTGTGTATTAAGAAAGTAGATTAAGATATTAAAATCAAATAGAGACCGCTAGTGTGTTGTTGCACAAGATTGCAAGCAAATTCTAACGTACACTAGACATGTTTTACCTTTTATCTGGTTCGGTGCATCCATAGGTGGTGTTGGCAGTTTCATATGTACATGCTTGTATGTATAACTTAATAATGTTGTAACATTGTAGGGATGTTAAGGAAGCAGAAGCTGTAAGCTGTAACATGCTCGAGTCTAATAGCTCATGAGTTTTCTTTCTTTCTTTTTCTTTTGTTGACACGTGCAAGTACAACCTGATCGCTCCTTGGTGGCATCGATCGCCCATGAGCTCAGTAGGAAGGCTGGTAGTTGCGAAGCTCAAGAATTGATAAGTTTGGAGTGGAGCGAAATAAAGTTGTGCATGAACATGTATATTTGGCCAATATGTTATGTCAAGACTGAGTATTGTTTTTAGTTTTGTGTCAAGAGTCTTTTTTAATGATATTGTTGAATCCGTGATAATAAAGCTTTCTTTATCAAAGAGGTGGGTGTCCAGTGGTAATTTTGGATCCAGATCTTTTGAAACTAAGTATTGTGTAGGTAAACAATTTTTAGTTGCGTGATTTGCATTACCAAATGTCACCGTAGCGTTAGCATGTGCATTATACTAGTTAAGAAAGTAGATTAAGATATTAAAAATAAAATAGAGACCGCTAGTGTGTAGTTGCACAAGTTAAATATTAGAGTTAAATGCATCAGCGGCACTCAAACTTGTAATGGTGTGTCACTTAGGTTCACGAACTCTCAAATTGCATTTCTAGGTCTCTTATCTTGATTTTTGGTTCACCGTATGTCCATACCATTTTGTTAGCAGTATTTTGCTTACGTGGCATGCCAACATGGCAGTCATTTTTACATTTAACTCCTCACATTCATTTTGCTTCTTTCTATTTTTTATTCCACAATTGCACACAAAGGGCGTCGCCCCTCCCCACCCAACGTGTGGTGGCGTGGCTAGGCCATACCCACGGTGGCTGTGCCGGCGACAGAGCTCACACGCCATGCGTGGATGGCGGCCGAGATCACGCCCGTGCGGCACTGGCGGCCGCCACGGCCCTAGCGTTGTACAGCGGCATCATGTGTATAGAACAATGGCGTTGGACGCCACTGGAGAGACCTGTACCCGCCGCGTGTCGCGCCTGGCCCCTGGAGCCGATGCCTTGCCTGTGCCGCCCGCATCCATGGCCTCGACGGCTGCTGTGAGCTTGCGTTCCGCTGGCAGCCTTGCCCTTTCCGTATGGAGCTGCTCGTTCCCTCCTCGCTGGACGATGACAACATGGCCATGGCATGTACGTTCGTTCTCCTCGCCTCTCTTGCCTGCCGCTGCCCCTGCTGTGCGAACGCACCCATACTCAGTCCCCACGGATCACACCGTGCCAGCGTGGCTCTCATGATCTCATCCATGGGTCGCGAGTTGTGGACGTGGCAGCCGAGGTATTTTGGGTATGAGTTTGGTGTTAGAGCTAAAGCTAATGGGGTGGGTGGGCAGCCGTGACCCATGGCTGGTGTGTGGAATGGAATTATGGAAAGGATGGGTTTGGAAGAAAAGAGAGGGGCTATTTCCTTAGAGAAAAGTAAACCTGAGGGGTTAGATGTAAAAATGACTGCATGTTGGCATGCCGCGTACGGAAAAAACTGCTGACAAAGCGACATGGACATGTGGTGAACCAAAAATCAAGATAAGGGACCTACAAATGCATTTTGAGAGTTCGTAGACCTAAGTGGCACACCCCTACAAGTTAGAGGACCGCTCATGCATTTAACTCTAAATATTATAACGATAGTGCTGGCCCACGGGCGTCCGTCCTGTCCGGACGTGGCTCATCCTCATCCGCTCTCAAAATACCAACACGCACACACAAGGGCGCTGTCCGAAAATTACCCAAATCGACCTCGAGCCAGCCCATCCGCCTGCCTGCCTTTCTCTACTTCCGCTTCCTCTCCCTCCCTCCAGCTCCACTGCTCCGCTCGGCCTTGGCGTGCGGTGGTCGCTACGGCTCGGTTCGGCGGAAGGATAGCATGTCGGCCTTGGCATCATCGCCGCTGGCGGGCGACGAGAAGTAAGAGGCAGCGCCCGTCAGGACTGCAAGGGCGTCAACGACATCAACATGGTTGTGCTTCGTGAGGTCCAGGGCAACTCCGCAGAGGTACCCGTCTACCACTCCCGCAAGTCACCGGGCATGTTCCGGCTGCCAGATCCCGACGTAGATCAGCGGCGCTTGCCATGGTGCTGTTCGAAGCCCGATTTCTCAGTTGTTGTCCGCCTTTTTCTCTCCTATGTTGCATATGTATGTTTCAAGTGTTTCAGACATTTCAGATGTATGTCGTAAATGTTTCATCATTATATTGCAAAAGTAGATCAGGGGATGTTTTACATGTTGCATATGTCGCAAGTGTTTCAGAAGCACGTAGCAAGCGTTTTTTAAAATATTTCATCTGTTTTCAGACGTATGTTGCAATTATTTTTTAATCTTGATATTGCATATGTTTTACACATATGTTGCAACAGTATATTCCAAATGTTTTAGTTATTTCAATCTTATGTTGCAGCAAGTGGTTTCATGTTGCAAGTCGCAATTTGTATGTTTCATATGTTTCACACATATGTTGCAAGTGCACGTTCCAAATGTTTCAACTATTTTCAGACATATGTTATATTCAAATGTTTTTCATGTTCAAGTGTTTTACGTTGTTCGGCGGGGGCGAGCGGACTGGGCGTGCGACGCGGCGTGGGGGGATGGGGGCGCTAGGGGCCAGCTGATAAGGACATGAGCTCCATGCATACGACCATGCTTGGAGATAGAGGACGAGGAGATCAGCGAGGGTGTCCTAACCGAGAAGGAGGCCCGAAGCTCATCCGGTTCGAGTCAACAAGGTGGAGGCCCAAATTAAGTTCGAACCCATCTCGGGTTCCTGAACCAGTCTGTTATAAAACTGGTCACACAGGCACGTCTGGGCTCCGTTTTCGATGATCCACGTATGGATGGAAAGCTAATTAGATAAGGAAGCCAATGCAAGTGGTCTCACGTCAAAAGCCCTTCGGAATCAACGGGAATCGTCGAAACAAGTCAGCGTCCAGAATCTGTCAGGGTGCTGCGATACCGTCTTTTGGTCCGTTGAGCCGTATATCGTCTTAGATCCCATTAGGGGGTGACGTCCAGGGCTCTATAATTAGCAGTTGTCGCTCTCCTTAGGGTTTGGGTTTTGTTTAGTTCTTGATTTCCTTGTGAAACAGACGTCGTTTTGCTGCAACTGTGCCGCTAAGGCTGCTTGCTGTGAACCAGGGCCCCAGTTCTTGATCTTGTTCGTCTGTGGCGATTAGTCATTTCGAATAAAGACTTGAACTCCTTCTCGTTATCATAAGCCACATATTTATTTGCAATTTTAGATTGCGTTCATCCCGTTTTTGCTTGTGTTCTCAATTCGCTTGCAGAAAAACCTTCTCGACGAGGTCAATCGCGTTCGCGTGGTTGATAACCAACGGAGCAGTTGTGTAACGGTTGTAAGGGTCCGAATCAGTCTTGGTTCGAAGCCTAGATCGTGAACGTCGAGTCTCCACCAATCGACGCTATCGTTCATATCGGAAGATCGGGCCTTGTCTATATCACCAGCAGACGGTGGTGCTGCGGTCAGGGCGCACTGGGGCTATGCTCGTCCTCAGCCGGCTTTTTAGTGCCGCCCACGGAGAGAGAGAGGAGGGGGTCAGAAGCGACCGGCGGGCGCAGAGATGGAGCAAAGTGTGCGCGTGAGTCAGAACGAAGACGGATGTAGTCAGAGTGAAGGAGGACTGGGACGGGCTACGCGTACATTCGGACGCTAGCCACACCCTTTTGAAATAGAAAGGCACACGGGACAGCAAGTCGGAGGAAAGAAAAGGGCACGAGCTGACGAGCAAGATGCCGATGCAGTATTCGCCGTGCCAATCCCACCACCGGCCAATCGCACGGAGGTCGTCTTTTCTTCGCAGCTGAGCTTTACACTCGCAGCCGGGTCATTTCATACTCGGAATTTCCCGTCTGAAGGGCTACAGCCTGCAAACGTCTGGCGGTCTGTTCGCTCGAACAGTATTTTTCTCTCACATCAAACCAGCTAGTAATAATAATCTACGATCGTATACGATCGTTTCAGCCCCAGCCGAACAGGCTGTGGAAATGTCTCTAAGTAAAATGTGTACTAATACACGAATCACATACTTCCTCAGGATGAATTTGCATTTTGTCGCTCCAAATTTCTGTAGAGGTTGAAGAGCTGTATAGCCTGTAGTGAAACGGATCTCTGT